TATATATATATATATATATATATATATATATATATATATATATATATATATATATATATATATATATGTATATCCTGTTTTTTGGTCAAGATTGTTAACCACTATATAAAACTTTAAAGGGAGAAGCATAGTCTGGATTATATCCTTTGCCCCCCCTCTAAAAGGTCTTCTTCTCTCTTTACTGATGTGTGCTAAGTTGGTATCAGAGCCAGGGTTGTTAAGAAATTAAAAATTTAAATAACAAAGGAATTTAGTAAGGCTAGTCCATATTAGTAAAGTCGTAGTGGCCTATTAATCCTATAAGTCCTAAGAGAGGCACGGTTAAGGCATTATGCCTATTGACTCACTAAGAGACGCTACTAAATAAGAGTGTTATTTAAATGGCTGGTTTTTTAAGAACATTGTCTCACAAGTCTACTAGTAGTGGTAAGCTTAGAATAAATAATAGTGAGGAAGTAGTAATAATAATATAGAAAAACAACGCCAAAATGGGAATATCCCTAGAGTCCCCTCCTGTGATGTATACCGAAAAGGATCTTTTGAATTTAAAAGTGATTATATTATAAAAACAGTTGAAAAAACCATCCCAGTTAATGAATCTCAAAACATATTCAAGTTTTTGTCTAAATCTCTAATTGAAGATCATCAGAAGAGAAGGTACAACTATTTGCATATAGGTTTAATTCAGGTTGCAATAAAACCTTTAATTAGAACAGGGTTAAATAACTCTGTACTCTTATGCCTGAGAGATGGTAGGCATAGAAAATTCACTAATTCCTTAGTAGGAATTGTAGAATCAAGTCTCGGTGAAGGACCTATTTATTTTAATTGTTTTCCAAACTTTACAGTTTCTTTAACAGATAAAAGTATACTAACGGTTTAACTTTAAACCTAAAGACTCAAGGGTTTGATATGGATATTGGATCCCAAAATCTTGCCATAGTCTATAGGATATGCTATAAGGCTATTGACTACGCTATGTCCAGATGTTAAAAAGATTGATGAAAAGGGACAAACAACATTTTTTCATAGTAATGTTGGAAAATCAAATTTAATTACTCCCAAGACTATTACTTGGAATAAAATCAGGTTACCTGATAGGTGGAACCTACAAAATGAGGGTCAACCTAGACCTCTAGAAAATAAGGAGGTTGAACAAATAATTGAAAAAGAAAAAAGTGAAATTGAAATCCAGTTTAGCCCAAAAAGGAAAGCAAGGATAAATACAGCAGATGGTCATGACAGGCTTCCCCCTAAGACTTCATGCTCTTCTATCCCTCAGAGAGAGCATGAAAGAGATCATGAAATAATTAATTTAGAAGGACTGAGGACTACACATGGACAGTTCCAGCGACCTTATTACAGGGTTGAAACTCCTAGATCTTCGAGATACCAGGAAATCCAACTACTCCTACATTCTCGGATGTGGTATTTGATCTTAGTGTTCTTATTAAAGAACAAAATTTTGAAATGGATAAAGTTGCTCTAAAAAGAGACTTTTACTCTGAAGAAAATTGGGAAATAGGAGAATGGTACCAAATTGAGTTTAAAGAAAAACTCATAATCAAATTCTATGAAAAATATAAATGAACATAAAATTATTTAAATAGTTAGAATATTCCAGTTTTATATTAGTTTGTGCTAAGTTGGTATCAAAGCCAAGTTTGTTAAGAAATTGAAATTTTAAATAACAAAGGAATTTAGTAAGGCTAGACTAGATCAGTAAAGTCGCAATGGCCTATTAATCCTGTAAGTCCTAAGAGAGGCAAGGTTAAGGCATTGTTCATGTTGATACTCGCTAAGAGACACTATTAAATATATATATATATATATATATATATATATATATTACAATGATTCAAAAAGCAGAACGCCCAGAGCCTAGGCGGTCAAAAAGGCCTGGGCGCATCGCCCAAGCCTAGGCGGCCAATCTGGGCGGACGCCCAGCCCTGGGCGAGGCCTGCGCCCCACTCAAGGGTGGAAATTGATTTTTGTAGTGGTAATTTTGATCATTTTTTGTTTTTAAGGGCCAAAATTTAGGGTTTTAGATTCATTTGAACCCTAAAACTTGTTGGAGCCAATTTTAGAGAGAGAAAGCCCCCAAAAATATAGTTTTTGGTGAATTTTTTAGGATCAAAGGGTATCTCAAAGTTAACAAAAATTGATAAAAACATCACCCATTTATATTAGATTTACTTTTTGACGTTTTGCAAAGTTATTAGGGGGTTTTTTAGAAGATTTTGAGTATTTAAAAGCATCTTTGAGGTGGAAGTTTGAAGATTGAGCAATCAAACTCAAAGTAAGTGATTTTTTTTTTATTGCTTTAGTAATTTGCATTATTTTTTAGATGTCTTCTTCGAGATCTAATAGAAGTAGTGATCCCGGTTGCAAATATGGCTATAACCCAGATCCTAAGGATAAAAATTGCATAAGATGCAAGTTTTGTGAAAAAGATACAAAAGGGGGCATAAACTGGTTCAAGAAACATCTTGCCGGTATCAGGGGGGATGTTGCCCCATGTAAAAAGACTCTTGATGCTGTTAAAGAGGAAATAAATAATTTTTTGAACATGGTGAAAATGAAAAAAGATGAGAGATTTGCCTCTATAGCAGAGATTAGGTCTAGGGTTCGGGTCAATTTTGATGATGATGATAGTGATAAGGAAAGGGAGGGGTGTCAAGAGGTTGAGCAATCCCTTATTAAGGGAAAGGGGAAGGGAGCTGTAATTGTTTTGGTTTTGGGACTAAGAAGCCTCGGGTTAGAGGCCCTATGGATAGTTTTTTACCTCGGCCTGATCCTGAGGTTGCAGGAGAGAAAGCAAAAAAGCAAACCACCATTGAAAATAGAATCAAGAAGGAAGAGAGAGATAGAGCTGCGTATTATCTTATTACATGATTTTATGAGGCCAGCATTCCTTTCAATATCGCTCGTTTAAGCAGCTTCTATGCTGCGATAGAGGCAGTTAGCCAATTTAGCCCTGGGATAAAACCCCCAACCACATATGAGCTTTCAGAGCCTTTTTTAAAAAAGGCAGTGAGTACCACGAAGGAAGCTGTAGAACTTAAGAAGGATGCATGGGCTCAGTTTGGGGTTTCTATTATGACTAATGCTTGGAGTGATAGGAAGAGAAGAAGTCAGATGAATTTGCTTGTGAATTGTCCTGCAGGGGCTGTCTTTTTAAGGTCTATTGATGCCTCTTATCATAT